TGCGCCGAATATGCGTGTGTGGCTCTCATGCACGTGCACAGAGGGGCTCGGCCGCGCTTTGACCAGAGCTGATCATCAGAGAAGAGGTAGAGCGGAGTCAGAGCGGGAAGGAAAGGAGCAGAATTTGTGGCAGTAAAATGTGGATTTAAAGAAAACCAAAGGATTTAAGAAGAAAAAAGTTCCGGATGACAAGGGACACTAAAATCCCCACAAAATTTGATCTTTCTGAAAGCTGTAGGTTCTCTGTCAGCTGAGGTCGAGCTGTTTTAATTTACATTGAGATCTATGGGACTTTTTCTGGGTAGCCTACGTGAATTTAGTCTGCAGTCCCACGGGTGCCCCATGTGCCCATAGGTGGGACAGCTTTAAGCTAGTAATACCCTATCCAGTTATAATTATAGATTCATATTCATTATCAATCGTTCAAGATATCTATGTATATAGTGTAAAGTTATATACTCTACACATAAAGCATGGTAATAAGAAGTTAAAGTGTCATTCAGTGACATTCTGAAGTTGCAGTATTGCACATTGCACATGATTGCAGTATTTACTTATACAGATGAATGACATATACAGACTCAGCAGTTCTCATTGTACATTCTGACAGCAGCTGGAAAAAAAAGACCTACGGAACCTGTCCTTCACACTGCAAGGGTGAGTTGGTCTGTCACTGAAACTGCTCTCAGTCATGGTCATGGTCCAGCATAGATGTTAGTTTGTCCAGGACCCTCCTGTCCCCCACCTGCTGCACTGTGTCCAGGGAACAGCCCAGGACAGAGCTGGACTTCCTGATGACCTGTTCCAGCTTCTTCCTGTCCCTCTCTGTGATGCTGCTGCAGACCACACCGTACAAGAGGCTGGCAGAGTCATAGAAAGTCTTAAGGAGTGTCCTCTCAGCTTTTAACCTTTCAGACCACTGATGGAGCTAACATGTTACATCGTAGTCTCCTCACACGCACACACGCACACGCACATACACGCACACGCACACACACACACACACACACACACACACACACACACACACACACGCACACGCACACGCACGCACACGCACACGCACACACACACACACGCACACACAGAGCAGAGCCTCAGAATGTCACATATGCAGGAAATGCATCCGTTCCGATCTCATTTATTCAGCATTAATGACTCCTGTAGGGACCACGACTTAATCTGATTTTAATGTGTTTGTTTTTTATGTCTCGATGACTTTTTACTATTCACAACGTGTGCCATGTGCGCGCTGCCAGCTCGCCGCCGGCTTTAATGTATGTGACGCAAAAACTGGTTTAATGAGCAGAACGTTAACGAAGGAGACGGATCCAGACGCAGGAGGCAGAATGTTATTGATCAATGTATTTATTACAGTTACCCTAAACCTAATTAGATTGTACCCAATTGAGAAGTTAGAGGAAATGCAATAATGACAAACAGCCATTGGTCCATAGGGAGTGGGACTGAGGCTATAGACCCAGGACTGAGGCTGTCGATCCAGGACTGAGGCTATAGATCCAGGCCTGAGGCTGTAGACCCAGGATTGAGGCTGTAGATCCAGGACTGAGGCTGTAGACCCAGGACTGAGGCTGTAGATCCAGGACTGAGGCTGTAGATCCAGGACTGAGGCTGTAGATCCAGGACTGAGGCTGTAGACCCAGGACTGAGGCTGTAGATCCAGGACTGAGGCTGTAGATCCTGGACTGAGGCTGTAGATCCAGGACTGAGGCTGTAGACCCAGGACTGAGGCTGTAGATCCTGGACTGAGGCTGTAGATCCAGGACTGAGGCTGTAGACCCAGGACTGAGGCTGTAGATCCAGGACTGAGGCTGTAGACCCAGGACTGAGGCTGTAGACCCAGGACTGAGGCTGTAGATCCAGGACTGAGGCTGTTTATCCAGGATCGAGGTTGTAGATCTTTACCATAAGAGATATACAGTAGCTCTGTTCATTGTAGATTATATGCTACAATAATCTGTTTGAAAATCTGCAAAGTCTTGAAACCCACACATATCTCTGTGTTTGGCGATTTCTGTTTTTTTCTCATAATAATCCACAATATTAGTGATGGAGACTTCCTGAGTTTGAGACCAGAGTCACAGACGGAGGCAGACGAGCTCCGGACTCGGGTCAGAGCAGTGAGATTTTTCAGGTTTCTGTCCGTGTCTTTGTCTGAAGTGCAGGCGATAATGATCCGGCTGAACAGTGGCTCTCGCGGGACTCATTTTTTGGTGGAAATGAAAAGGAATTAGGAGACAGGAAGTGGGTGACAGGAGGAGTATTTGAGGAGCAGTAATAAGGTTCATTACGGAGAGGACAGATCTGAGGGATTGCGGACACATGCCACCGCGATGTGATCCAATCTGAACCGTTATTACCATTTTAGCTTTTGATGAAACTTGAGAGTTCTGTAGATTTGCTTAATAGTTCAAATAATGTAACTTTTTTGGGCTTCTGTCACATCTTTAGATCGGTTTCTTCAGACAGAAAAGTAAAAAAAAATCTACTCTAAGCTCAAAGAGTCAAATAGTAACTCAAAAGACACCATGGGTTTCTATTACTTATACAACTCTTTCTGTTGGGACAAACACCAGACTATTCAAGAAACAAAAGGGATCATTCATCTTAAACTTTTCTCACATAAAGAGAGAATTATTAAGCATTTTTTCAGCCATTCAAAATTATTATTAGACTATTAACTCTGTCATTTATTCTTTTAGAACGCTATATATTATATTTGTTTGGAAGTAGATGGTGGAACAAATATGAATGGTAGATGATGCTGACAACCTGCACTAGCCAAATACTGCCACCAGAGGGAGGAGCTGAGGTTGTAAACGTTTGTAAAATCATTTCACGACCAGAACTAATTAATGAGCAATACTTTTGTTTTAAAGGACAGAGAATTGCTCTGAGTGTGATGTCATGGTGATGTCATAGTGATGTCAGAGAGGTACAATGACATCATATCGTTACAGGACTGAGACAGAAACTTTTGGACAGGAGGGGCGGGGCGGGGCGGGGCTACATGAGTGCTGCTGGGACTTAGAGGAGCACAGGGACTGGCCTCCTGCTGGTGTCAGGACTAAACCTGGGGAGGCATCATTTCAGATTCATGCAGCTATAATCCGGGACAGTCTTCCTGAAAATTTTAGACAATGTCTGTCAATGTTCGAATCCAGGTTAAAAGGTTATCGAGCACTTTAAGTTGGCTTGTGTATGAACTGTGTTATACAAATAAACTTGCCTTGCTCATATAAAGTCTTGATATACACCTGGTCTAGTCGTTTGTGGATTGATTCTCTGCTGATTTCTACAGAGAATAAATCCACATTTTTTGTTACGGTGACTTTTCAACACCTGGAATCCCTTTCAAACCAACAGACATGGGCAATTTTTACCAAACTGATCAAATTGGTAGAATATTTAAGCTTCTATCAAAACAGTTCTTTCGTTTGAACAGACCAAGAGTATTTTTGAGTGAAATTCACCACTGTGCAAAGCCACACTTCGACCAAACTACTTTTTCCCCCGACTCCACAGCGGCACGTTCCACTGTCCCTTAAATCAGAAACACCTCTTGGGACTCGGCTCCTGCGTCCGTCCTCCGTCTGTCAGGGTGAAGTGTCGACTAAAGCAGCCGGGATTATCCAGGAGTCATTCTCGACGGGAATTTTTGAAGCTCTCCGACGGGAAACGAAGACAGAAAAACACATCTCAAACCTCTGGAGACTGCAGTGAAGAGTGAGGGCTGTCCACGAGGAGCTGCTATCCCAGGAGAGTAATGCGTCTGGCGGGGGAGAGATAGGGGAGAGGAGAGGGGAGAGGGGAAAGGAGAGGAGAGGGGAGGAGAGGGGAGAGGGGAGATGGGAAAGGAGAGAGGGGAGAGGGGAAAGGAGAGGAGAGGGGAGGAGAGGAGAAGAGGAGAGAAAAGTAGAGGGGTAGGAGAGGGGAAGAGGAGAGAAGAGGGGAGGGGGAGGAGAGAGAAGGGGAGAGAAGAGAGGAGAGGAGAGAAAAAGAGGGGATAAGGGGTGAGTCAAAGGGGAGACAGGCGTGGGCGATATGTATTTGAAGGTGTTGAAATATGGAGAGAAAAGGAAAGCTGTAAGATTCATGGAGAAGAAAAGCATCGGAGAGAGAGCTCAGATGAATCAGGACTCAGGCGTTCAGGGCGTTCGGGGCGTTCGGGGCGTTCAGGGCGTTCTGGGCGTTCAGGGCGTTCTGGGCGTTCAGGGCGTTCTGGGCGTTCTGGGCGTTCAGGGCGTTCAGGGCGTTCGGGGCGTTCGGGGCGTTCGGGGCGTTCAGGGCGTTCGGGGCGTTCAGGGCGTTCTGGGCGTTCAGGGCGTTCAGGGCGTTCTGGGCGTTCTGGGCGTTCAGGGCGTTCAGGGCGTTCAGGGCGTTCTGGGCGTTCAGGGCGTTCTGGGCGTTCAGGGCGTTCGGGGCGTTCGGGGCGTTCGGGGCGTTCGGGGCGTTCAGGGCGTTCAGGGCGTTCAGGGCGTTCGGGGCGTTCGGGGCGTTCAGGGCGTTCTGGGCGTTCAGGGCGTTCAGGGCGTTCGGGGCGTTCGGGGCGTTTGGGGCGTTCGGGGCGGTTCGGGGCGTTCGGGGCGTTCAGGGCGTTCGGGGCGTTCTGGGCGTTCTGGGCGTTCAGGGCGTTCTGGGCGTTCTGGGCGTTCGGGGCGTTCGGGGCGTTCAGGGCGTTCAGGGCGTTCAGGGCGTTCAGGGCGTTCTGGGCGTTCAGGGCGTTCTGGGCGTTCTGGGCGTTCAGGGCGTTCAGGGCGTTCGGGGCGTTCGGGGCGTTCAGGGCGTTCAGGGCGTTCAGGGCGTTCTGGGCGTTCAGGGCGTTCTGGGCGTTCTGGCGTCGGCGTTCGGGCGTTCGGGGCGTTCGGGGCGTTCGGGGCGTTCGGGGCGTTCGGGGCGTTCGGGGCGTTCAGGGCGTTCGGCGTTCAGGGCGTTCTGGGCGTTCAGGGCGTTCTGGGCGTTCTGGGCGTTCAGGGCGTTCAGGGCGTTCGGGGCGTTCGGGGCGTTCGGGCGTTCAGGGCGTTCAGGGCGTTCGGGGCGTTCAGGGCGTTCTGGGCGTTCTGGGCGTTCAGGGCGTTCTGGGCGTTCAGGGCGTTCTGGGCGTTCTGGGCGTTCAGGGCGTTCTGGGCGTTCAGGGCGTTCTGGGCGTTCAGGGCGTTCAGGGCGTTCTGGGCGTTCAGGGCGTTCTGGGCGTTCGGGGCGTTCGGGGCGTTCGGGGCGTTCGGGGCGTTCAGGGCGTTCGGGGCGTTCGGGGCGTTCGGGGCGTTCGGGGCGTTCAGGGCGTTCTGGGCGTTCAGGGCGTTCTGGGCGTTCGGGGCGTTCGGGGCGTTCGGGGCGTTCGGGGCGTTCAGGGCGTTCGGGGCGTTCAGGGCGTTCGGGGCGTTCAGGGCGTTCTGGGCGTTCAGGGCGTTCTGGGCGTTCAGGGCGTTCTGGGCGTTCTGGGCGTTCAGGGCGTTCGGGGCGTTCAGGGCGTTCAGGGCGTTCGGGGCGTTCGGGGCGTTCACACCGGTGCAGGAGCGTCGAAGCACAGAGAGGACATTTGATGGACATAGATCAACATTTATGGACATTGGTCACTGCCTTTATGGACCCATGACTCGACTCTTTGTGTTTTTATTATCGTGTTCTCTGTGTCTGTTTGATTCTCTGATCTGTGTTGGTGAATTCACAACAAAGTCCTCCTAGAAAACGACTGTTGTGATTTAGGGCAATACAAGAATACATTGAATTGAAAAGAATGCATTGAATCGATTGCTAATGCTTTCTGGAGATCCCTCCGTGATTGAAGGCATCTGATTGGTCAATCCTTATATGGTGATGTCATTGAACTAGCCTGGTTAGTGCTGTGATGGGAGACCTGTGGGAACACCAGGTGCCACAGTGAGGCGGCTGCGGCTGTAAAGTGTCAGACTGTGGGTGTGTCCTTAGGCAAGACACTTCACTCACATTAGAATGAGTCTAGTTTGTGTGAATGGTTGGTCGCAGTAAAGAGGCCGATGCCACGGACTGGTTGCCTCGCTTTTGTCCGTGTGCCCCAGGGCAGCCATGGCTAGGGGTTCATATTTCAGTCCTAAATGATGCGTTATCGTTTTGGGTGAATTATTTTCTGCAAACTGAACTACAAATAGTGAAAATGTGTGTCAGGGCCGAAACACTCCGTCCCAGAAAATTTGATACGCCCCCTATGGTCGTGCACGGAACTACCTTAACACACTTTTAACACACGCACACTTGTCTAGTTTTTGTGGATGGTTGGTGGTAGTAAAGAGGCCGATGCCATGGACTGGTTGCCTCGCTTCTGTCAGTGTGCCCCAGGGCAGCCGTGGCTACTATAGTAATTTATCACCACCAGGAAGTGGGACGACTGAGGCTGTAGATCCATATATAAAGCTGATGCGTTCACATTATTCACCTCATCATCAGAAAGTCTAATTTTCTTCTAGTTTTACCAATGAGGACAATCCGCTGTGGTCCATATTTCAGTCCTAAATGATGCGTTGTCGTTTTGGGTGAATTATTGTCTGCAAACTGAACTATTAGACAGAAAAAAAGCGTTTCAAACTGGATCCTTTGTGCTGCTCTCTCCCTAATGGCTGCGAGCATTGATTCCCCTCCATCCATTTTCAAGTCAAAACTGCAATTTTTTAACCGCGGGCAAAATCCAACAAGCCCCAGTGTCACTTCTGTCAGCGCCTCCAACCAGAGCACTGCCACTTTCACACTTTTACATCACAATCATATCAGACGCGCTGGTTTTTCAGATACATAATAAGACGTTCTCTGGGTCTAAATTACAGTCTGTCTAATTCTCTGGCTTTTACTCTCAAAATGACTGTTTTGACGCACGGAGGATTGACAAGACACTGTTGTTTGGAAGATTATTTTCGCAGGTTGAGACGGCGGCCAAAGTCTGTAGAGAGACGGAGAGAGACGGAGGGAGAGAGACAAAGAGAGACGGGGGAGAGATGGAGAGAGACAAAGAGACTGAGAGAGAGTGAGAGAGAGGGAGAGAGCCTGAAGGAGAGAGAGTGAGAGGGAGGGAGAGAGACAAAGAGAGACGGGGAGAGACTGAAGGAGAGCAATTGAGAGAGAGGGAGAGAGAAAAATAGACTGAGGGAGAGAGGGAGAGAGACAAAGAGAGACTGAAGCAGTGAGTGAGAGATAAGGAGTGAGACAAAGAGATTGAGGGAAAGAGACAAAGAGACTGAGGGAGAGAGAGGGAGAGAGAAGGAGAGAGACAAAGAGAGATGAAGGAGTGAGAGTGAGAGAGACAAAGAGACTGAGGGGAGAGACTGAGGGATAGAGAGTGAGAGAGACAGAGAGAGACAAAGAGAGACAGAGAGATGGAGAGAGACAAAGAGACTGAGAGACCAGAGAGAGAGAGACTTTGGAGGAACTGTGTCTCTCACTTGTACATCACCATTTAAATAAAATCACTGTTGTTTTGGAGCAATAAAAACATTCACAGTGCCTTCATTACAATCTGTTTGGATGTTTGGGACGATTCACAAGACGCTGTTGTTTCGAAGCTAATTTCCACAGGTTATGATCACCTGGTGTAGAGTGTGTGTTTTTGTGTGTGTGTGTGCGCGTGTGTGGGTGTGTTTGTCAAATGGCTCATATTGTGTTAATCTGGAGAAGCTGCTCAGGTTATTATTGTAGATTTAGGCCACGCTGCACTAAGAGACTGTGATAAACGTTGTTATTTTAAGAGTATGGATGCTATTCCGGGAGTTTGCATTCAGAGGAGCGATATTTTGGTGCCTCGGGAGACAGGAGTGTGTGTCTGTGTGTGTCTGTGTGTGTCTGGGTGTGTGGGTGTGTCTCTATTTGTGTCAATGTGTGTCCTGGAATAACATTGATTCATAAATGTGATGATGAGGCAGAATTATGATGCCTGCAGATTTAATGTGCGCACACACACACACACACACACACACACACACACACAAACACACACACACACACACACACACACACACACACACACACACACACACAGACACACAGACACACATACACACATACACACATACACACAGACACACACACAGACACAGTGAAACGTCTCATAATTATTGTTTAATAGCCACAAATTATGGGTAATAGCTCTTCTTTATATCTACACAGGATGAGCCACTTCTGACAAAAAACCAGTACAAACACATCCCCCCACCCTATCTGTTGAAATGCCCCCTTTTCAAACTTCCTGCTCGTTGTCGAATGTACTGTCTCCATAGATACATAGATAGATAGATAGATTCATAGATAGATAGATAGATACATAGATGCATAGATAGATAGATAGATAGATAGATGCATAGATAGATAGATAGATAGATAGATGCATAGATAGATAGATAGATAGATAGATAGATAGATAGAGATAGTGATGATCATTATGGAGACTGAGGTGAGGAGTGGGACCTCTCTCTGGTCGTTCCTGCCCAGACTGATCTCTGCTCCTGTGTGTGAGTCAGAGCTGTGGCTGCAGGTCAATATTCAGATCAATAATAATGAAGAAATGTGGAGAAACGTTTGGATCTTAGACCTGAGACGATTCACGCTACACGCTCTACATGCAGGGTCTGAACCAGGGCAGGGGTGAGAGAGGAAAGAAAGAGAGGGAAGGAGAGAGGGGTGAGAGAGAGGGGCAGGGAGGAGAGAGGAAAGAGAGAGAGGGAAGGAGAGAGGGGTGAGAGAGAGGGGCAGGGAGGAGAGAGGAAAGAAAGAGAGGGAAGGAGAGAGGAGAGAAAGAGGGAAGAGGAGAGAGGGAGAGTGGAAAGAAAGAGGGAAGGAGAGAGGGGGAGAGAGGAAAGAAAGAGGGAAGGAGAGAGGGGTAAAGAGAGGGAGAGATGAAAAAAGAGAGGGAGAGGGAGAGAGAGAGACAGCGAGAGAAGGGAGAGGGAGAAGGGAGAGAGACAGAGAGAGTGAGATAGAGAGAGAGAAAGAAAGAGAAATAAAGCAATATACAGAGTGTGAGACAGAGAAAAAGAGAGAGACGGAAAAAGAGAGATAAGAGAGACATAGAGAGAGATTAAAAGAGAGATAGTGAGAGAGAGAGAGAGACTGACCGGCAAAGAAATATACTAGTAAAATTGAGGGCGAGAGAGATTGTGAGAGAGAAACAAAGAGATTGGAGAGAGATGGAAAGAGAGAGAGAGACTGACAGACAAAGATGGATAGAGAGAGAGTGAGAGAGACAGACGAATATAAAAGCATCAGAAAGCGCCAGTGCCATTGAGCCTGTGACAGAGTGATGTCGCTGCTGCTCTGCTCTGACAGGTTCATTGTTCTGAAGCTCATTCATGTGTTCACAGAGACACTGGTCCCTCGGGTTCTCGAATTTGAGGACCAGATGGAGACAGTTTGATTGACAGTCGCTACACAAAAACACTGTATTCCCCACTGTGGGATGAATAAAGGGTCTTAATCTTGATCTTAATCATTACATTACAGTATCTGGTTTTGAGGTATAGGTCTGGTATAGGAGTGTAACATTCCAAGCTCCAGGACTGAGGCTATAGAACCAGGACTGAGGCTATAGAACCAGGACTGAGGCTGTAGAACCAGGACTGAGGCTATAGAACCAGGACTGAGGCTATAGATCCAGGACTGAGGCTGCAGATCCAGGACTGAGGCTATAGAACCAGGACTGAGGCTGTAGATCCAGGACTGAGACTGTGGATCCAGGACTGAGGCTGTAGATCCAGGACTGAGGCTGTAGATCCAGGACTGAGGCTGTAGATCCAGGACTGAGGCTGTAGATCCAGGACTGAGGCTGTAGATCCACACTGACAAAATACTGTATGTGTATTTTGACTCACGGTTTGGTAATATTTCTAATTCTTCCCTACCTAACCATACACAGAACAGTTTCAAGCCTAGAGACTGTGTACGCTTCCTTGACGTGAATGAGGAGCTGATTCCACACTTAATTTCATGATGAATTTCGCTTAAACATTCCCATGAAGTGAACCTACACGCATCGCCGGGATCAGCCATGTTAACTTCTATGGGCTGTTCAAAACATGCTCAAATCTCTGCGTGTGCATATTTTAGAACACCACTCACAGTCAATTACTTATAATATCCATAAATTTGAGCTGTCGCCTTGTTCGCAGGGCCTGAGTGTGGCTGTGGTTCCAGGGGGAGGGTCTCTGAGCACTGCAGGAAAGTGAGGTCCATAAATCACACTCTGACAGACCAGCACAGACCCAGATTCTCACCGTGGGATTATCACAGCAAAACAAAGGCTTTCCCTGAGGAATTTAATATCATGTAAGGATTAGAAAAACACATTTCTTATCTACAAATTGCCAATATGGCTTGTTAGATTATAGAACAGATATCTTGCAAATCTGATTTTTATTTTTATTTTTTATTTTTAAATGTTTTAACCAGTGGGGCGGGTCCCGACATGTTTGCAATCTCACTCCTAGCCGGGGGGTGGGGTGTACCTGGAAAGATAATTACCCAATGTTTTTGTGTGGTGTCTTCATTCCTCTCGAAACATTTTTTTGTTTTGTTTTGTTGGAACAGTCAAGTTTTGCCGGGATGGTCTTCAGAA